AGGAAGGAAGGAAGGAAGGAAGGAAGGAAGGAAGGAAGGAAGGAAGGGAGAAAGAGGAGAAAAACCCAATTCTGTCCCAGAGAAATCCTTGGGAGTGGTTTCTTTGCCTTATCATGAAAGGATTATTAATGGCAAACGATTATTAATGGTGATAATGATGACAAATATTTTTCTTTTTATGAATACTGAGAGCATTTGCACCAAAACAAATTCCTTGTGTGTCCAATCACATTTGGCCAATAAAGAATTCTGTTCTATTCTATTCTATTCCATTCCATTCTATAAAAACATGCAGATCATCAGGCTGCATAGATATTTTCAGTTTTGGAGAAACAGCCATCCTTAATACATTTATTCATTATTATTAATAGTTGAGATGCATGCAAACCTTGCACAGGGTAATTTTCCCCCCAGATTTAATGGAAACGTGATGATATGATTCATTATTATTGATGGCAGTGAAAGTTACCCATTGCACTATTTGCAACTTTTTAGAAATAAAGATCATTAAATATATGGTAAGGATTAAGTTGGTGGCAGTGCAGGCAAACCATTGCACTGTTTATTTGCAAGTTTTTAAGAAATAAAAATCATTAATATATTGTTAGGATTAAGTTAACAATTGTGCAAACCACAGAACTGTTGTAATTTTTAGATACAAAACTCATTATTGTGACAATACAAACAAATCACTGCATTGTTTATAGTTATTATCATTTTTAGAATAATTATGATAGTACAAACCACTACACTAACTGTAATTTTTAAATGTGTTAATAAGATATTAAGTAATATACATTATATGAAATGTAATACATTTGTATAGAATTGTATCATGGATGTTATTATATATAACACATAACACTACGTACCGTAATAATGTATTAACATTACTATGTTATTATTGTTTACAAGGCATTTTGTACTGATTTAAAAATACAATAACTGTAAATAGTGCAAAAGGAAAATTTAATGTACGCATAGTGTATAAGGGTTAAAAAGGGAGACAAAGCAATAATATATAAAGCCCATATGAATCATTCCTCCCAAAGGAATGTCTCAGCATGCTGTGTGAACGTGGTCAAGTGGGAATGGCTCCACACTAACCATGGTTTAATGTAGACAGATCCGGTAAAAAGCCAGAATTGTATTTAAGGTCACAAGCTGGTTGAACCAAGTTGGCAAAAAGGTACCATACCTGTGGCTGCTTCTGTGGGCTTCTGGAAAGGAAGAGGCACTCCCTGAAGAGAGAGGAAATATTTTTATATTTATTTATTTATTTGCAGGGAGATCAATTAAATTCAACTGCTGGCTCTAGTTTCTCACTCCTGCTTAGGAAATACACAAGTTCAGGAACAGTCAGTCACCTTCTCCAGGAAAAAAAAAAGACCATGAAAACTTTCAGAGATTAGAACAGAAATCACATACATGTAATCCTCCACTTACAACCATAACTGCGCCTGCAATTCCAGTTGTAAAGTGGATCATTACTGCAAGTTGTAAATTCATATGTCGATCCATGTTGCACGGAGCATGACAGAGCAGTGAAACTCGGTGTATTTTAATTACCTCATAGAGTTTGGATGCAACCAACTTCTTGCCAGTGCTGTTCATTCCTTCCATGACTACAACCTGGATAATTAAAAAATTGCGGGGAAATATATAACTTCAGTTCTCAGAATTCTCCAGCCAGCCTGCTTTAAGAGGGGTGGACTTCAGCTCCCAGAATCCCCCAGTTAGCATGCTTTAAGACAGATAGAGGGTTCCTCAGCTTCCATGTTTTAAAATGAGTGGACTTCAATTCCCAGAATCCCCCAGTCAGCATGCTCTAAAAGGGATGGATTTCATCCCCCCAAACTCCCCAGCCAGCACGCTTTAAGAGAGGTGAACCCCACTCTCAAAATCCCCCCCAGCCTCCATGCACGCTTGAAATCCACCCCTCCAAAGCATGTTTGCTAAGGAATTCTGGGAATTGAAGTCCGAACATTATTAAAGTCCACCAAGGTTGAAAAACACTGATTTAAGCTCTTACCTGTCCTGGAAACAGTGAATAATCCGTGAGCTCAGAAATGTCGACGGGGATGAAAGCCCCCGACGAGTGTTCGCGGTCCCCTTCTAGGATGATGGATTGGGGGTTCAGTTTCCCATTTGAATCGCACGCAATCTGGCCCAAGACGGTCACAGGCTCCTTCCGGCGGGCATTAAAAAAGACAACAGTGCAATCAGAGATGCTGTTTGCTTCCAGACACCCCCCACCCCAAAGGGCCGCAGTCTTGGAACAAGGGGGCTGCCCCTCCTCCTTAGCCCCACTTTTGCTATAAGCTTGTAGCCCCGTTAACATACCTGCGCAGGCACCACCAGAGAGGAGAATTCGTCTATTTTGTAATGGGCCTTGAGATCTTCCCCCAGCTCTTCGATCTTGTAGGACAGCACTTTCGAGGAAGGAAAATAACAGAAAAGTAAAATAATTTTTAAAAAAACGAAAGCATTTGTATAGCCTGCCCGTAAAAATATCGGCTGTTTTTCCCAGCGTTTCAAGAAAGCAATTGAGACCTGGTTTTTCCATCCAGCCCAAATGTGTGCGTGCCTGCGCCTGCCTTTCATCTAATCATTTATCTCTATCTATGTCTGTCACTCTATCTATGCATCTATCCATCTATCTGT